CCCATAGAATAGTAAGAGGTTGCACTGACTTGCATATGAAGAAGTGTGCTCACACAACTTGTCTGTCATGGTCACGTTTGCCTTGATCAATTGTATACTTGACTGGGTTGGTCATATATATGGCTGAATTATAGCACTATACTAACCTGAGGGTTTTTCCTTCAGGTTATGGTGAGTCGTTGGATATTACTATCACTGTTCGTAAAATGTATTAATTACATGTGAAAATTCTTACCACTAAATGCAATATGTCATCGGGTACGTTCCTACCATGGTGACAGAGCTCATATGCGGATGAATGGCTGAATATTACAGGCGCTGTGGTCACCTCCAATGCGTCACGCATTGTATCGTAGGAGACGTGTGAAAGGTCAATGAGCATGCCCAGTCTGTTCATCTCACGGATGACTTGCTATAACATGATGTACAAAATTGTGTTATCATATATTGTTTTCACCGAATACATTATTAGTTAAATGTCGTGATAGATAGACAGTATGGCAAATCGTGGACCTACACTATTTTAGCTCATGCCATATAAAGTTGACAGCAATAGAGCGTCCAATACGTGATTTACGCCCTCTGACGACGGGCGCCTTAATGACGTACACACGGCAGGAACACTATTCTTAGCATGGATATTATTTTAATCTGTTTCTTCCGTCAATGAAAACAACAGTTTTTAATAGATTTGCAACATTAGAAATACAATCAACCGCACAACCAAATACAGCCGCCGTTTTGATCTACATTTGTTAAAGGGCGGTGGTCGTCGCGCCGCGATAATCTCTGTTGATAAACATTGATTTTTCCAATGCGTTAGTTTAAAGCTGGGGAGTCGTCATCTGCGCATGCGTCAGGTGGCCATAGCGTGTCATTGTTTACAAACAAGGGTCTACCCATGAGTCTTTGCGCTTTTAGTATGTGTTGTTATCGTCGCCATTCCCCCCCCCCCCGCGTGCGCAGGTGACAACCCTCCCGCTTTAAGGAAGATACCTCGGAATACAACTTTAATAACTATATACATTTTGTGATTTCAGACTGAACTGCTGAAAGATTCGACCCAGTATTGGGGGACCGGCGACATTAGCGTTAGTAAATACGATGGAGGCAGACATTATAATAAATTGGTCAAAATCGTGTATTTAATCGTATAATACTTAGGTACCTTTCCCCAGGCAGTGAGTCCACCGTATTCTGCTTCCTCCGCAATCCAATTGTCAGCCCTGTTCGTAGAAACAAATACACAGTGATATGATGTATTTACCTACCAGGGCTACCACTCTCGACACAACTCCAAACATATTAAACCTTACGAAAGTACAAGTTCAGCGTACAATTACAATACTCTAATACATGTATGTTTAATTTTCAAACTGAACAGATTGTTGATTGTGTCATTTATACTGTGGCCAAATTTTGTTCTCAATTACTAAACAATTCGGCGAAGAACATTTCAGTTGTTTGGTAAATTCAAAGCATAACATCCACCGTGCAGTGCGCGTTGAATTTCGCGTGAACAAATATATAAATTACTCCTGTTGTATACGTTGCATGGAACTCACAATGAAGCGGTCATATATCATCAGTTATACAAAATCACCTATGTGCACGTGATTTCCGGTAAGAATGAAATTAGCATAATGCATCGCAAAAGAACAAAGCTCATTGAAGAGCTTTTGATATCAAGTAACGTCACTAAATCTTACCATGGAGTGTTACAACTGTGCGTTATTGTCATGTATCGAGTGCCTAATTCATAGAGCATGCGCAGAACACCCAACTGGCTGTCCATTCCATGTCCACCCTCTACACCAATCAAACTTCCGATTTTACCAGCTGCGAATGCGTCCAATAATTCTGCATATAAGTAGTGTAGTAAACAGTTACAATATAGCTGAAAGCAGCAATGATCGGCATGCAGGCAAAGGGCTGTTGGGAAATTTGGCTAAGGATATGTTAATATAAGGTTATTACGAGAATGCCTCAATGCCCAAAATTCAAATTGTTTAGAACAGAATCAGCGAACTTCTTTGTGTGGAGCCCGGTCAAACTCTGGTGGCAGCCATGTTTGTTTTTATTATTAGAGGACTCTTACGCGCGTAATCATTCCATATTTGGAATTCGCATTTCCTAATATGGTAGGATGAAAACACCCCATGAAATACCGCAACATTACGGTACGCTGTAACTAATGGCGTTACGGTGACAGATGTATAATAATGGGTGTTGTGGATAACCCCTTAACGAGGTTGCCAACAAAATAAAAGCATTACAGTAATATATATCGCTTCACACTCTTAACTCACAGACTATTCCATGTTTCAGAACATGAAATAAATGTACAGTACGCCAATACAACGTTTTTGGAAGTGCGAAATTCAAAGTTCATATTAGGACACTCCTTACCTTGTGCCGTTGTTACGAATTCGAATTCCGGATACTGCTCTGTGTATCGTTTGATGACGTCAATCTGTTCAATTGTATGACGTAATGCATCTTTATATTGAGCATCACAGCTCATGTATGCAGCCCAGAACTTAAAGAAAGGAGATTATTGACAGATTTGATATAAACAGTTTGTCACAGTCAGCTGGCGTACAAGTGATAATGAATTATATACGATAAATTTACTGATATTTACTATATATAGTATATAGGCCGATATCTTGAACCTGGTCGGATTCAAGGCGGCGGTCTCCATATAGTAAATATTGGTGAATTGCGCGAGTAGCCAATCAGAAATGGCGTCTCAAATGGTTATTGTCGTTAGTAAGAGGTAAGCCATAGTGTTACTGGCCTTACTTCCCCGCTTCAAACTCTACAGATGTAGGACTGAACGTTTCAGTGTGGTTGATAAAGTAGAGTGATTATAATCAGCGAGGCCGTAAGGCAGGTGTGGTCCTTGCTGCTGAGTGGTCAGTTTCAGCAGCAGGTGGAAAATAATTTGAGAAGGTAGAGAATGATTTGTTGATGGTGGACTTATATTGAACTTGTCTAATAAATTGAAGTATGTAGCACCGCGGAACATCAGGCAGTTGTCTCGGGCTACGCCCTCAAAACACATTTCTGTCCCGTGGTGTTACCAATACTTATTTTGTTATCTCTTGTACACAAGCTGACTGTGTCAATAGTGACCCAATTCACCGTGTCCTCAAATAAATATGACGCCGTTTTTGATTTAGGAGTATTCTAATTCCAGTGGTCTGCTAATATTTGTGTATTCAAGGTATTTGAGCTCCATAAAAAAATGATATATATCTCTAAAAATGATCAATAAAATTAAAGTTTATACTCAGTCTTGGCAGTTTTATTATTTTATTAGAAAATTTAAATATCAGATCAAAGTGCCTCAAAGATAATCTGTAAATTGACAAGGTCACTAGGCGCCAAATGACGTCACATGGTACCGGGAATGTTTTGATGATGCAATGGAGAACATGGAGAACCTTTACAACCATACATTAGGGTCCAATGAGTTATTTACCATTTACTTAGATTATTTTTGAATGGGTGATACAATTATTGGTAACAATTTCTGAGGAGGGGTCAGAAATTCAATCGGATAAAAGTAGAGGCTGTTGTCACTTTTAATTGTGTTTGCCGGTGACGTCGCCTTCTTAACTACGACTGATGAGCTACTTATATCATGGAATTATCACCTCCATGCTTATATCAAGTCGCAAATGAAAATCAACCAATCAGAATCAGTGTTATATGCAATGATAAGGCACAGTTTAATTGGTTGAACGTGAC